CTGTTTAAACATCTGTATGACCTCTGATAAAACCACCTCTTCAGGCAGAGAATTCCACATTCTTATAGTTCTTACTGTAAAAAAAAACTTTTATAGTTAAAGGACCACTATAGGCACCCAGACCACTTCAACTTAATTAAGTGGTATGGGTGCCAGGTCCATCTAGGATTAACCCTTTCTGCTATAAACATAGCAGTTTCAGAGAAACTAATATGTTTCCATATGGGTTAATCCAGCCTCTAGTGGCTGTCTCATTGACAGCCACTAGAGGCGCTGCTGCGCTTCTCACTGTGATTTTCCAGTGTCCATAGGAAAGCATTGAGAATGCTTTCCTATGGACTGACCGATTGCGCGCGTGGCTCGTGCAGCGCATGCGCATTCAGCCGATGACGGGAATGGAGGAAGAGAGTCCCCAGTGCTGAGGGAGCCCGGCGCTGGAAAAAGGTAAGGGAGGGGGGCCCTTAGGGTGAGGGGGACCCAAGGACCCTATAGAGCCAGGAAAACGAGTATGTTTTCCTGGCACTATAGTGGTCCTTTAAAAAACCATTTATAGTTAGGTTGTATGTATTACAGCACTGCGGCATATACTGGCGCTATAGTGTAATGTATAGTGTTGGTGTTTGAAGGGATGCTTATATATAGTTTTAGTGTTTTAATACAGGGGTGTGTTTGTATGTAATGTTTGCACTTGATTGCAGGGTATTGTTTGAATGTAATGTTCACTTTTAAATACTGATGTTCATTTGTGTGTAGTATTGATGTTTGAGTGAAGGGGTGTGTTTGAATATAATTTTGGAGTTTTAATGCAGGGGTGTTTTTGTATGTAATATTTGTGTTAGATTGCAGGAGTGTGTTTGTATGTTTTGCTGGTGTTTGATTGATTGGATGTATGCACATACACTACCACATACTTACACAGATATACATGCACATTAACACACAGGTACATATAAATACACCGGCACACAAATTCATATAGACACATACACACACATAGATACACACACTGACACACACAAACCTTAACACATGCATACACCAACACAAACACAAACGCACATTCTGACAAACAGAAACACTGACACATGCACACACCATGACACAGATCCACATCTTGACACACAGATGCATGAATACACACAGGCACACACTGACACAAATATACAGAGATGTACACCCTAACACACACACAAACACACACACACACTCACAGAATCTGACATACACATACAAGTGATATTTTTTTTAGATCTGCAGCAACCCTCCTCTTAGCTTACCTTGTGTGTCCAGGATGGTGGCTTGGAGTCCTGGTCCTGCTGCTGGCTCTTGGGATTGAGGGGTCTGGTTCAGCTCTTTGTGATCCTCTTCCCTGATGCTGCAGCTGCCTCCTCTGCCTCCTGTGCTGTCTCTCTGCAAGAAGCTGTGAGGAAGTGACAGGCTGTCGCTTCCTCCCTGCCAAACCAACAATACAGTGGACCGCGGCACCCTACCGGGCCCCTGTTCAGCAGAAATATTTCCCAGTGCTATAATCATACACTGTTTGAATTGATTAAAGCAAATACACTGGTAAATGAGAAAATATCAAGGAATAACTGTCTGGTAAAACTTGCGCTGTAATTCATTGTTTCTAAATGTAATCCTAGTAAAATAAGTATTCCTTTATGTGATAAAAATATAAACACAATATAAAGAAAGAGTAAAGCCCAGACGCAGTATGGAATGTAATTATAGGCCCCATTTTGAAAAAGTGAATTATGGAACTGGAAACATGCATGGGGAGCAGAGCAGGCTACAAAATAAACCATTTAACGTTAAAAATACTATGTACAGATTCAGATTTTTATTTCTACCAGTCCTTAAAGCAATACAAACCTGTATTTCTTACATTATACTTCCCTCTGGACTCCCCCGCCCTTGCATAGCCCCCACCCCCCCTAACCAGATTCCAGAGCCGTTCTCTCTTGGAGCTGGGTCAGTACTCTGTCTCCTCTACTACTGCACATGGGCGCTACTGCACATGGCAACAACCACTGCAAGCACATTATTATGCCCTCCTCATAGGAAAACATTACTTCAATGCTTTCCCTGTTCTCATGCAGGGCATAAGGAAATACAGTGGCATTTCTGTATCAAAAGTCACCTAGCAAGCAGGAAGTGCTTGACAGCCACTAGAGGCAGTCTCAGTCCTACAAGGTACTCATTGCAATTTCTATAAAACTGCAATGATTTACATTGCAGGACTAAGAGACAGGGACATTGCACCCAGACCACTTCAATTAGCTGAATTGGTTTGGGTGCCTATAGTGTCGCGTTAAGTCTACCTATTCTTGCCCTTTATCCTGTATATTACACACCTGTATATTACAGAAAGCTAGATTCCACTTATTAATATATGGGGTTAACCTTTTCACACCAGACACAAACATTGCACGTTACTGATATTACCAGTCAGGAAGAGAGTATTGAACCTCTGACAACCCAGGGAGGTGACACTGCACTACACAATGTTATTTATCTCTGCAATTGTACAAAAGACTACAAGGGTATACTCTTGACTATTTCAGACTATTTTGACTATACCATAACTATTTCAGTAATATGAAGTGCTTATGGTGTTTAGAGTGACCCTGTCAAACAAAATCTATCATGCAGAGACTATAAATACCTGACATAAGCTATGAGTGATATAACACTTGTGTTTGACTAATAAAATAGAGTAAACTCCATAATATTTAGTCTAAAAACACATAAATTCTTAATCTGTGAAACTTTGCTCAGTTTCTGTACTGCTGTTTGAATTGTGATAGGAACACTATATTCACCTAAATTACTTTAGCTAAATAAAGCAGTTTTAGTGTATAGATCATTCCCCTGCAATTTCATTGCTCAATTCACTGTCATTTAGGAGTTAACCCCTTCAGGACTGAGTCAATAGTACACGTTCTGATCAAAACAAAACGTAAACAAAAACTGGAATTTGCGCTATATGTCTGTTCAACCGTAATTCCCGCTGTCACATTAAGTGCACCCACACTTATTATATATAATTTTGTTCAGGAGAAACAGGGCTTTAATTTATCATTAACTATTCATATATGGAACATAATTTATTATGAATAAAATTTAAAAAACATTGAGAAAATAAGATTTTTTTTTTAATTTGTATTTCCGTCTGACATTTTAGCTGTTAATGTCATAATACTGTTAGGTTTTGCTGCAAAAAAATGCACATATTTGTAATCAGTGATGTCTCACAAGTACAACAGTACCCCCCATTAACAGGTTTTATGGTGTTTTGGAAAGTTACAGGGTCAAATATAGAACATTCCATTTTCAAATTGAAATTTGCCAGATTAGTAATGTTACCTTTGAGACGGTGTGGTAGCCCAGGAATGAGAATTACCCCCATAATGGCATACCATTTGAAAAAGTAGACAACCCAAGGTATTGAAAGTGGGGTATGTTTAGTCTTTTTTAGTAGCCACTTAGTCACAAACACTGGCCAAAGTTAGCGTTCATATTTGTTTTTGTGTGAAAAAAGCAAAAAACTAATATTTGGCCAGTGTTTGTGACTAAGTGGCTACTAAGAAAGACTGGACATACCCCACTTGCAATACCTTGGGTTGTCTACTTTTGCAAATGGTATGCCATCATGGGGTAATTCTCATTCCTGGGCTACCATACGCTCTCAAAGGCAACATAACCAATCTGGCAAATTTCAATGTCAAAAAAATGAAATGCAAGCCTTATATGTGACTCTCTAACTTTTCAAAACACCATAAAACCTGCACATGGGGGGTACTGTTATTCTCGGGAGACGTCACTAAACACAAATATTAGTGTTTTAAAACAGTAAAACATATTACAAAAATAATATAGTCCATAAAAGTGCCGTTCATTTGTAAAAAATGCAAAAAAACCTTAACTTTTACTTAAAAAATCATCGTTGTAATACACTTTATCATTTTGAAACACTAATATTTGAGTTCAGTGAAGTCTCCCGAGTAAAACAGTACCCACTATGTACAGGTTTTATGGTGTCTTGGAGAGTTACAGGGTCAAATATAGTGCTTGCGAATTTTCTCCCTGTGTTGTCAGGCATGTCAATCAAATTTTAATTAATCAAATCACATAATTATGTTAAAAGATTAATTAAATATACACGTAGACTTTTAATATATATGCATTTATAGGTATTTAAATTCTATGTGTATACTAATGTAATCTTTTATGTAATTATATGTATTTATCTATATATATATATATATATTTGCGGTTATTTGTATTTTATATATAGATAGATATATATAGAATGTCATTCTAAGTGTATTTTGTTACATATATATATATATATATATATTAATAACAAAATACAGTTAGAATGAAATTACATATGAATATATAATTTATATAAAATTTTGTTTCAATATTTTATTTATTTATTTTATTATTTTATTTCTTTATTATTGTAATTATACATATATAATATATGTGTATATATCTATTATATATATGTAATATATATACATATTATATATATGCAACGTCATTCGAAGTGTATTTTAATACTAATATATGTACTTATATTAATATTAAAATACACTTTGTATGACGTTACATATATATAATATATATATATATTAGATATACATATATTATATATATATATAAATACTTGTAATTAATTTTAAACATGTTTAATTATTTTTTTTTACACCTCCTACCAGCAGGGGGACTGTCTGACATTTTAGACAGTCCCCCTGCTGACAGATCCACAGCCAGCTATAGGGGGCCATGTGATCGCTCTTTGAGAAGAGGATCACGGCGGAGGTAAGTCCACCGGACCTCCAGGGGCTGCAAGCCGTTAAGGCGTTCTATGCCGCTGCAACGGCTTTAAAGCCCTTTTAATGCGGGACGGCATAGAACGCTGTAACGGCGTTAAGGGGTTAAATCACTTTGTTTCTGTTTATGCAGCCCTAACCACACCTCCCCTGGCTATGATTGACAGAGCCTGCATGAAAAAAAAACTGGTTTCACTTTCAAACAGATTTAATTTACCTTAAATAATTGTATCTCAATCTCTAAATTGAAATTTAATCACATACAGGAGGCTCTTGCAGGGTCTAGCAAGCTATTAACATAGCAGGGGATAAGAAAATCTTAATTAAACAGAACTTGCAATAAAGAAAGCCTAAATAGGGCTCTCTTTACAGGAAGTGTTTATGGAAGGCTGTGCAAGTCACATGCAGGGAGATGTGACTAGGGTTCATAAACAAAGTGATTTAACTCCAAAATGGCAGAGGATTGAGCAGTGAGGCTGCAGTGCCATGTTCTATACACCAAAACTGCTTCATTAAGCTAAAGTTGTTCAGGTGACTATAGTGTCCCTTTAACACAGGCTAGAACATAAATTGCACTATTTTTCATGCAGAGAAAGACCCATCAACATAGTTTTCTGGTTCATTGTGGCACTTACTTGTACATACAATTCATGCACAGCCTTGCGGGTTTCCTCAATTCATGTGTAAAAGACCATCCAAATTGCTTATTTCTTCTGAACTTGTAGCATAACAAGCTATTCAAAAATATATGCCTTAGCATGAAAAGAGACTGAAAATTAAGATATAAAATAAGACTGCCAAAGAAGAAAAAAAATGTTCAACATCGGGGTGGTTTCATTCTTTATAGAATTTATTTTATATTATTATATTTTTCTCCACCTCAAAAGTAGAATAGGCATTTTATTTTTAAACAGGAAAAAACAGTTTTACAATTGAAAGAGCAGAAAAGTTTAATATCCAGCTAAGGAGTAGAAAATTTCACAATGACAGTAAATTACGACTTGAGCTTATTTGGTTAAGAAAAGATCAATTCAGTCTGGTTAATGGAATTACTATTCCAACCATTAACCCTTTCACCTTCCCATCAATTTTCTTTTAATCCATATGATCTTTTCAGGATATTTCTCTGTACTATTTCTCATCTGCTATGCTTATAGGGAATGCTTTCCTTTTTCTCCAATATTCAATAATGAACAGAACACCAGAGGGGTGGCCATGGTCAAGTCCCTCGTAATGTTTGTCATTTGAACTTTCTAACATCCTCCCTTCCACCGCAGATGACCTTTTATGTGGTCATCTAGCCCTCGGTGTCCGTTCCAAGCATCTTGAAGAAATGTGACACGTACATACATTCAAGAAAGTTAAAAATTAACTATATCAAATAAGACATCTTAAATATCAACATGCCATTGCACCCCAGCTACTAGACTTTCTTCATTTGGAGCCAATGCCAGATGAATTACTCCAGAATTCATCTCAACCGAAGATCCTACTCCTGTTATTTGCTTGTCTCTGATGTACAACAAATTAATAAATACCTTCATAATTGGCTAGCCCACCAAGTCTTGTGATCCTGATTTATTAATTAAACAATGAAGGAAAGATAACCCCCTATTTTAAGTATTATATCGATAATGTATTACAAAAGAAAAAAGAAAAGAAAACTGGGAAAAATATTTACTTTCATAGGTTTCAAAAGTAACACACATGCACAGCAATGGTCAGTAGAAGTCATATCACTCCCTCCCCAGGTCCCTCTCATTCTGGTCGGTATGGCTTGATGTTATCCCAGAGCTCTCTGTGTAACAGAGGTTTATGGCACAATAAGTTTGTCCCCCTGCAGCTCCAATCAATACAGAGGACAAATAAAACTGCCTATAAACTGTGAACAGTCATATTGTGATCACCAGGAAAAGTCCAGGCACACCTCATGCAAACCTTTTTGGATCAAAATGCACAGCAATGTTTCGGTGCTACAACAGAGCAGAATCAAATCTACCCTTTTCCATGATGTGCAAACATTTATAGCATACAACCAGGGCTGTACTGGGATCTAAAAGCAGCCCGTGAAAAAATGTCTATACCAGCTCAATAAAGCATCACACCACCATAATGTGCAGATATAGAGGTGGAAAAGAAAACGTAAATTTAAAAACTATTACTTCAACGTGAAAGAAAGCACTCATAGGGCTTTAAAATAAACAAGAGTGGATTCATTTTAAGCAGATGTGCATTTGCAAATAATCAATACATAAACAGTGCTGAAGTGGAGAATGATCCAACTGTTTAACCGCAAGAATAAAGGACTAAATATTGATTTGGGTTTCCTGTCCCACTACCAACACTTTACATGAACACTCTCCCAGCATTATCATACTCTTCTGTCATATGTACCAACACTTTAAAATGCATTCCAATATGTTTATTCTATCAATATACAAAATACTGTGTGTAGAACTGTGCTTTCACATACTCTTATGCATGTATGCTTATATATGTGACTGTGCATTTATATGTGTATGCGTTTATGTGCATGTATGTATATATGTTTGTGTGTATGTATATGTGTTCATGTGTATGCGTATACATATGTGTACATATACATATATATGGGTCTACGTATGTGTGGGCACATTTGTATATGTGTTGGTACATGTATTGGTGCTTGTGTGTGGATGTATGTGTAGGTGTGCATGCACATATATTTGGGCATTTGGTTGTATTTATATGTAAATTGTTGAATGTACTTGCATATATTGTGTATGTACTTGTGTATACTTGTACATTTACACTACTTGTGTGTATGTATACGTACAAGTGTGTGAGTGTGTGTCTGTGTATGCTGGATATAGGCCTTCATGCATATTCTGTAACTATTGGATGGGAATCCATGCATTCTTAATATAAGTTATTATTTTTTTTTACTCTCCTGTTTTAGCACCATCTTCTGCATGGTTTGCTTGTTTTTTGTTTGTTTTTTCTCTCTAATCCCCCTTACTCTGTGATCTTCACACAAGATATGTACGACCCTCTGCGAGAATGGCGTCTTTTTTCTATCAAACATGTGTCTCATGTCGCTTTGTGTGTCTCTTTGAGCTTTTTATTTTCAAGTTTAGTCTATTTAACCCCTTAAGGACCAAACTTCTGGAATAAAAGGGAATCATGACATGTCACACATGTCATGTGTCCTTAAGGGGTTAATCGCCTTTTTGACATGCTTATAGTTGTTATTGGATGCTATTGACTCTTCTGATTTAAATGTTTTGAAGGAGCTTTTTCGTCTTGCTGTTATAATTGGATGACTTACCCTTTTAGCTTTTCTGAAATGATCAGAGCTTACCTGTGTGAACCTATTTTACCTCCCTCTAAGGAACTTCTGAGCTACTGAGATGAGAAGAGTGTGTGGCCTGCTCTGTGTCTGGTTGCTGGCATTGTCATGTCTACCTGACCACTGTCTAAAGTGATCGAGTGTTACATGGAACATTCTAAATCCACAATGCTCACAAATGTTGCTGCAACTGATGGAACAAATAGCCTTCCTCAAGTTCAATATCCCCAACTTGGGTTACCTGCTCTTCAATTTACTTCTTGAGGCGATATCATCTGCTCACTGAGATCCAATTGTCATGGTGGAAGGCTTAAGGGGTTGTCAACCGCCTGCTGACTTTTTCCTTTCATGTTTGGATAGATCTACCTTTTTTTCAATGCAAAGTGACTAATGCGCCCATGTTTCATTGATAAGTAATACTAAAAGGAAAAAATGATGGTCAATCATTCTAACAATTTTTATCACGTCCTTTTTTTTCCAAATATAATACTGGCAACTCAAAATTTTGGCAACTCAAAATTAGTATTGCAAAAATGGCTGATATCGTGTAGCCATTAGACCAAGCAAAATTGTAGTCATTTTTGTATGTCAACATAGTCAAGAGAAGTTTTTGTTTTTTTTAATGGCTTCCCTAGTTTCTTCCTTCATTATTTTTTTGCTTCTGAAATTCTGCCAGACGAACAGCAGCATAGACTGAATTCTGCCATCCCTACTTATTTTTTTGATAGTTAATAAAAAAAACTGACTAGGGAACATGACTCCTCAATATTTGATATGGTTGTTGGACCAGTGAATGTTGTCTAAATGTGTTAAGGCTATTTAAGTCGTGGTCCAACAAGTTGATGCTCTGTTTTCCTATATTTTTTTTAGTAAACCATTGTCAAATTACATTATAATTCAGCTCAGACAAGGAAAAGACAGGACAAGCATTACAAATGAGAAGGAGAAATGGAAACATCATTTAATTTCTCCTCGTCTCTGTATTCTTTCTGTATGACTGGCAGGAGCAAATGACATCGCTTATATTAATGGCTGACAAGGAGCTAAAATGGAGGCGTCCATTTGCAGAATAAAGACATGCGGATTTATACAATAGATTTAGTCTTGCAAACCTCTTAAAGGACCACTATAGTGCCAGGAAAACATACTCGTTTTCCTGGCACTATAGTGCCCTGAGGGTGCCCCCACCCTCAGGGTCCCCTTCCCGCCCGGCTCTGGGGAGAGGAAAGGGGTAAAAACTTACCTTTTTACAGCGCTGGGCAGGGAGCTCTCCTCCTCCGATCCTCCTCTTCTCCTCCCCGTTGGCTGAATGCGCATGCGCGGCAAGAGCTGCGCGCGCATTCAGCCGGTCACATAGGAAAGCATTCATAATGCTTTCCTATGGACGCTGGCGTGCTCTCACTGTGAAAATCACAGTGAGAAGCACGCAAGCGCCTCTAGTGGCTCTCAATGAGACAGCCACTAGAGGATTAGGGGGAAGGCTTAACCCATTCACAAACATAGCAGGTTCTCTGAAACTGCTATGTTTATGAAAAAATGGGTTAACCCTAGCTGGACCAGGCACCCAGACCACTTCATTAAGCTGAAGTGGTCTAGGTGCCTAGAGTGGTCCTTTAAATATATAGTTATTTGATTGAGATGTAAGCAAACATAATACGAAAAGTTCTAGGAAATGACCGTTTCCCTTTAAGACGTCAGGAATTCAAATGAGAATCTCTCTTCTAGTGATCACTAAAGCACTGATTGGTGACAAGTTACTGTTGCATTACTTCATGGTTTAGGCTGAAAACTGGAGAGTCACAAATAACAAGAAATATAGTCATGATTTAAATGATTTATTATATTTGACAAAGATTGGCCAAGACCTCTATTGCCCATACTAAACTGTTACATTGATGACAAAAAAGACAACCTTTTCGAACTGAAAAAATATCAAAAAGCCAGCTTAAGTTATATTGATATATATCTTATCAATTTAATCTTGTTTGTGATCTCGCAGACTATATTTCAGTTAGCGTGTTTACATTTCTAAATTTAGCTCACCTACTGAATAGATAAATCCTGTTTAGTTTCAATTCTAAAAT